CTTTCTTTTTCGTTATCAAGCTCAATTTTAAGGCGTTTTAATTCAGACACAAAGTCATTTATTGAGCATATCTGTGTAATATTCTCCAAGCTCTGCAAGGATTCAACCCTTGATTGTAAAATTTCAATATTCAACTTAATATTTTCAAGAACGGCCGCGCAATCGCTTGAAGGCACCTCTGTAAAGTATTGATCCGTCTGACTCCCTTGCTCTAAAGTAATTCTATCGCAAACTGCCGGTTGATCCAATAAAGGAGCAGAAGTATTCTCAAGTTCTGAATTTGTCATGTTACTAGTGTGGGAGGGATGGACAGATAACACACTGTTAGGATCACTAGTGTCTTTTATAGCATCACACATGTACCTTTTGTCACAAACTTTGATTAGATCTTCTTTCAATTTATTGCCAGTTTTTCCTTGGAATAACAAGGTGTTCTGCTTTCCACGACACCAGGTCATAGTTAAGTCCAAATCAGAACTCGTAAACTTCCGAGCGTTGCCGCCTGGTGATGTCCATTTACCTGGCATTTTGAGCATATCTTCGACGAAGTTCTCCAGTTCTTCACGGTTATGTGACCATATGATCCGCTTTCCATTATAATTAAAATACAGACTGTATTTACTTCTCAAAATATTTTCTATTTCCCACATATTCTAACTAAAATCAACGACGATAGCTTTTAAAAACTGTACAAGTCAATTAGGTCAATTATCCAAGATGGCGGTTTGTCTGGTTATCTCAAGCTGAAATTGACGACTGAATACAGGTGTTCAATATACAAGTTAATGGACCTGCTAAATAATCAGCAACATGTTTTAGAAATTTCACCAGGATCTGATCAGGCCCTGTCTAACAAAATCTGTTCTTAAATGTTGTACTTCTCGGAGAACCTCAACTTCACACAAATTAAAAATACGACCTTCAGGATCAGACCCTAACCCCCACCCTAAAACCTGTTCCTAACCCAGGGTTGTACTATGTAATTCCCAAACTCGCAAGCCTGCAAAACCAACCATTATTGATGCTGTGTCATTTTAGTGGTTGGAAACAAGTGTTGATCTCTTCTGCATGAATATATATTTGTGTTCGAATATATATTTGTTTCAATATATTGGGCTATAAATATGCATATTTATCTTTTCCTGACAAGAAAATATAAAGTAAATGTTGTTGAAAAGGCAGAAAAAGACACTATGTTACATTTGGCTGGATTCTTGATGATTTAAAAAAGAATTTGAAAGCATGTCCTAAGACAATAATATTTTGTACTTCATTCAGGGAGTGTAGAGAAAGTATGACATTTTTAGTGCAAGTGACGTAAATTGATATTGTTTACACCATAATGAAAGTTTTTAGGAGGTGAACTTGATGTGTTTATAACGATTTTTGTGCATGGTGAGAAGATTAAGGGGTTTTAATAATTTTTACTTGTCTTATGTAACAATTCTTTGGCCGTTTTGCCAAGTTCATAGAAAAGAATGAAGGAACTATGTAGTTCCTGGGAATTTTATGACATTGCTCATGTGTGGTAATGGTTTTGTTTAGAGGATTTTACCCCTGGAACACCTGATTTTTCTCGAACATTGCAAGTGTGCATGTGCCATCGAGCCTTGATCAATATTCACAATGGAAAACACAAGGAGCGACGGAGTGTTGCTTCTAACATTTGTGACCCCAAAAGTAAATTTTGGTTATTCTACAAAGAAGGCACAGATATAATTTGGACTATACATTGATTAAACAGAGAGTTAGAGTTAGGGCATTTTCAAACCAAAAGCCAAAATCGAGTTATTTACCAACCATGGTTATGTCACACAGAATCAAGTTACCAACAATGGTTATGTCACACAGAATATCCCGCAGATCCTTCCAAAAATTTTGGAATGTTTTTAAAAAAAATGGTGGATGTTTATATACCTCAGTTTTGTCAAGAGTGCAACCATTGTGGGTTTTTATTGAAATTTAGTTATAAGTACTGTGCACAATGTGGTGTATGTGTCGATGAAGACGTTGAAGATGAATGAGATGAAAGGACAATCATAAACACAGTACTTTGAACGAGGTTTTGAGCGATAGGATTGTAGAATTACTTGTAAAGGAAAAAGAGAACTCTTGAAAAACGCCTGAAAGAGTACAATCTTAGAAGATGTGGTGTCGCATATGACGGGGGACTATGACGAGGGACTATGACGAGGGACTAGTGAGACAACGCATTGCAGAAATACTGAGCGGCCCTGGGTGCATGGGGGGTTACGGTTCGGTATGCCCTTCCAACGGAAGGTCTCCAAGTTCTGAGGGACGTTGTTGAAAGTATTGTTAAGGAACTTGATCCTAAAGGCTGCGCTCTATGAAAAGCTTAATGTTTAAAAAGGAGGAAATTTAGGTCACCCTGGGCTGAACTACTGCTGGCATGTTGATGGGTATGATGACAAACTGAAACAGTATGGTTTCCCCATCCATGGTGCAATTGACGTGTGGAGTAGGAAGATTATGTGGTTAAGGGTATGTAGATCGAACAACTTCCCTGAAATTCTAGCATAATTTTATTTAAAATGTGTGGCTCAGCAAGAAGGATGCCCTGAGTAATAAAGGGCAGTGCATATTCAGGGATGATCCTAGAGCACACTTGTGCGGAAGATCTACAGATCTTCGATGAAATCTGGAATATGTAAATTTTTGTTGTACTTCACTATTATACCCTATTGAGGTTCACCCTGCCTTATGCAAACTGATATGTGAAGTGTATATAGAATTTACATATTTCATTACACTATGAAACAACAATGATGTTGTTTTAACTAATTTTACTCAAAAATATCTTTGGTGACCTCCATTTTTAGGTTTGTAAGACACTTCTATGTACTATAATGAACAATTGTTAAAAAAATTCTATGATGGTGAAAATATTTTAATTTGGAAAACAGTATATTTTTTAAATAAAATTTTTTTGGCATCATGTTGTACGAAAAAGAAGTGTGATAGCATTACTAAATCTTCACCTGGGTTTGCTATTGCAAAAGTGCCAAATGAAATCATCAGGCAAATGAATTCTCACAAAGTTGCTTATGATGAATTGAACTTAATTGTTATTCTTATACTTATACTTACACAATCTAGAATTCTTTTTAAAAAAAGGATTGATTTTCCTGAAAAAGAAAGTGGTAAGATGAGAGCTTTTACAGGAGAAGGTGAAGATGTGCTCTTACCTCACCATATTTTGTTACATGATACCATAATATCATGTAATTATAATATTATATATTCAATGAACCTTAGTAACCTTAGTTAACCTTACATGCATAAGTAAGGAAATAGTTGCGGAGAACCTTGTCCTGCAAACCAACAACGTAACCGACATAGCTTGGTTTGGAGATAACCATTGTTGTTCTTTACTCACTTCATCCCATTGTTACTTGCTTATTTTATTGGGGAAATATGTCGTAGTTTTATATTTTCTTCTTCTAGCAAACTATGTAAAAGTCAAAGCACAAGCCCCATCCAGCCATTCACCTCAAACTCCTATTCCTTTTTCTCTTTTTGATTAAATCTTTGCAAAAAGTTCTTCAATGTCAAACTACGCAAAGAACCTAGTGTTTGCTGTATTTGACAAGAAAGTGCTTTTAAAGTCAAATTGCTCTCTCCTCCGCAGAGGCTTTTAAAGGAATAAATTTGGAATTGCGCTAGAAGGTGGAATTGCGCTAGAAGGTGGAATTGCGCTAGAAGGTGGAATTGCGCTAGAAGGTGACATATCTCATATCTGACAACCGCTGAAAATTAATGCGCGGGCGAGGGGAAAGCGAAGGCGAAAAACGCAGAAGCCTCTGCCTGATTTGTGACCCAATATGGCGTTAAACCGGGGGGAGATCCTCGTCCCTCGAGCCATGATTTCATTGAAGGCTTGAAGCAAAATGGCGCAATTGGGTATGAATAATTCATGTGCACAAAGGCAATTTCTTTTAGCTTTGCGGAGCGGAAAAACGTGTTGTGCTGTCTGTGGTTCACAAACAACTGGTGTATTTAGTGAAACAGGCCTTCAACAACATTACCGAATTAGACACAGAGCCATAGAATTCGATGATAATGCGCTGAAAGACGGAGTGAAATGTTTAAGAAAATTTGCTGCAAATGAAACAAAGGGAAACTTTGATATCCCTTTCAGAGCAGAGGAGAAATTCGGTAGGTACAATTTTTATCGCCTTTATACTTTAAGTTGCTGCAGTATTTTACAGTGAATCTGTGTTTTAATGTAGGGTTTTGAGAATTACAAGATTTTTGATGTTGAAGGCGATGGTGAGAGAATGGAGTTGTGTTGTTCAAACGAGAAAGAGGCAGCAAAGTTGTTTGGATTGTACCTAGAACATAAAATTTCCTTGCCAAAACTGGAGAAGAGCGGTGAAGGCATGATAGTAGTACATGTGAATAATAACTCGATGAACTGCACATACCAATTGTGGAAAGCTCGAGACAAAGTGCATGCACAAGCCATCTATTACAAATTGGTAAGGCAATATACGTGTATATTATAAATATATTGAAATGCAGGAATACCAAAAATATTAATTTTGTCTAGCCAGTATCCTGGCTCGACTGCAAGGTCTATCCATGATGATTCGCATGATTGCAATGTATGCCACGGTAGATCATACCCTTGTCTCCATGTAGTATACTAGATGTTTGTTTCTTGCTAAATTTGTTGTACTGCATCTTTTCAGAAAACACCTACCACCATATTGCCAGCACCAAATCTGACAAGTTGCCAAACATTGCAACGAGAAATAAATGCCATTCTTGACCAGGAAAATAGGGAATTATCTTTACTGAAATATTTGTATGGATATGAGTCATTTCGCTCTGGGCAACTAGAAGCAATTCAGTCCATATTGCAAGGGAAGGATACTCTTACACTTATACTAACAGGAGGTGGGAAAAGTGTTGTTTACACTTTACCTGCAATTCTGAATCTAGGACTTTCCATTGTCATTGAGCCTTTGAAATTCATCATGGAAGAACAGTGTGAGAAGCTAAGACAAAAGCAAATACCAGCATTTTTCTATAATTCATCATTAACTGACAAAGAGATGGAGTTTGTAATAAATTCCTTGTGTTGTGGAGACTTGCTGCAGGCAATACTTTTTACCAGTCCAGAATGTATCATGTCTGAAAAACTATTGAATGTTTTGAAGAAATGGAGTGATAGTGCCAAATTGAACTTTATTGCAATTGATGAAGCTCATTGCATAGATGTTTGGGGACAAGGATTCCGTGAAGATTACCTTAAACTTGGACTGCTTAAAGATTTCAAAGTACCTATCGTTGCTCTTACTGGTACAGCTACAAGTACCGTTCAGAGTAAAATAGTGGATACATTGAGAATGGAATCCCCTGAAATAGTAAAAGTGACAAGCTCACGAAGCAATTTGTTATTAAATATTTTACCAAAGCTTGACAAACCCAAAAGACAAATTGCCAACTATATCAATGAAAATTATAAGGAACAGCGTGGCATTGTATATTGCGCACGTCGGAAAGATACTGTTGATCTTGCACGTGAACTTAAAACAGCCAATATCAATGCGATTTTTGTCCATGGTGCCCAGAATGATGCCGAAAGGAAGAAGGAGCAGGATTGGGCTGCTGGTCATGCCCATGTCATTTGTGCTACTAAGTCATTTAGCATGGGTATTGATCAAAAAGATGTGCGGTTTATTGTGCACATGTCGTTCCCTGAGAGTCTTGAAGACTATTATCAAGAAATTGGGCGTGCGGGAAGGGACGGAGAGCCTGCCACTTGTACATTGTTTTTTAAGCATGAGGATAGATCTTTCCATCTTCACAATATTGTTAAAATTGACAACAAATGTTATCAAGAGCATAAGTACAATTTGCTTCAACCAAATTGTTAACTATTGCGACAATAACATGTGTCGGCACAAGCAAATCTTGCTGTATTTTAGGGAGAATGTTGCAGAATGTGAGGACAAATGTGACTCGTGTAATAACAACAAAACTATTGAGGTGAAAGATTGTACTTCAGTGTCAAAAATAATTGTGCATGGTCTTTTGGCAATGGAAGCAAGGCAAATAAAGATAACAGTTTTGCTATTAACACAGTTCTTGCTTGGGTCATCTGTGACTGAACTACAAGTGTTATCATTAAATATGGTTAAAGAATTTGGTTCTGCAAAACCTCATTATAGGCAAAGAAATGGAAGGAAGCAACTAGAGAGATTGATCTACCATCTCATTGTTATTGGGATCATCAAAGAAGAACCAACTGGTACTGCAGACAGGCCTTCTATTGTTTTGGCGACAGGTAATACAAAGAAACTGATGGATGGTGAGGAGACCATTTTATATTCAATTTGACATGCAATTAGGTCATATTGAGATTGTCACAAAATCAACAACACTTCTAATCAAGTTTTGATAGACCCATTGCACATATATACATTATAAGAGTGTAGCTAGTAGAATTAAAACACTTATAACACAATTACCTTGGAAAACAAATACAATATGGTGTTTTGAGTAAAATACGAAAATTTTAATTTTCAACCTTGTATCATATTGACGTAAAGACCATGATCAGTAGTCACATGACCTACTGTATCATATTATCATCATTTACTCCAAGAGATTATTTTGCATCTGTTTTTCATGGTTATTTCTTCACAAGTGCTCTAATTATGGAATTGTACTGTAGTTTCATGACATCATGTGCAACTTTAGGTCTATACTGCTCATGTCTTAGGAAGACTAAATATTTTTAGACATTTGTTATATTTACATTGTAAAACCTCACAAAAAATGTTACCCCTCACAAAAAATGTAACCCTTCCCCTAATCCCAACCCTAGCCTTGCCCTAACCTCACCCCAAATCCTCAAACAAAACCCTTATCCTAAATCACAATCATAACCTTGAATCTAAAATAGAAACTCTTCCTAAAATGTGACTCATATATAGTATGGAAATATTGCCTTAAAATATAGGTTGGTAAACAGTCATTATCTGACCAACATGGAAAAAGCTGTCTGACCAATTTTCCAACGAAAAGACAACCATCACACATTCTGTCTAAGTGAAACTGAGGTCAATTTCTTACTTTCCTGCATGCAATTGCTCAATGAAACCTTCCTACTTTTATATATGTATTCGTTCGCCTAAATATTTAACCTTCACATGATGTTGATTGACATAACAATTCATATCTTAAATCAGGGAATGATTCATATAGTTTGTAATTAAAATTCTGGGATATTTTTGCAACTGCTTTATCCATAACATCAAGCATTGATTTCGACACTTTACCACTGGGTTCCCCTCCCTCGTCTAGTGGATAACAGCAGGGTAACTCTTCAGATTTACTGGGATTCAACAGGCCATTTTGCAAGCAGAACCAAGAACCCTTCAATTGGTCATAAAAAGGATCTGCAACTGAATGCCGGGTGGTTGAATGTACATGAAATCCAGCTTTGGAAGTATATGCTTCTCTGCTGGCTTTAAGGAGATCAATCGATCCCATTAGTCTTTCACACATCTTCACTGATGTGTGGCTACAATGTAAAATAGAGTATACATCAATGTAATATCTAGAAACACTTCAATAACTAAAGAAGGACTTGGCAGGGTGCATATATTATACAAGTTTCAGTAAAGTACAAGTTAACCCATTAACTGGCAATACTAAACCAATGATTGGGGATACCAAAAGACTCTAACAGTCATAAGAAAGAATGTATTGCAAGCTAATGGGGTTAGGTAAATGTCATCTAATTTTATAAAATGTCATCTAATTTTATATTTATTTTGTTTTACAAAATATAATAATTTTCTACCTGACATATAGACTTTCAGTGGTTGCACTATCTCTGCTTCTACGAATGCATCCAATTCAATCCCACACCCATTTCGTCCAGACAGATTGATTGAACAGTTGTTTGACAACATATTCCGAAATGCAAGTGGCCATTTGCCAAGGAAGTTGGTAACATGAATGCAACTTTCGGAGTAATAGTTTCTAAAGTTCAATTGTGCGTAAATTGGCAACTGAAGCATATAGCAAGCTTCTCTCGCTCCTCCCCAGCAATGGTTTGTTGAGATATCAAAAAGTTCCAATAAAGGGCCATAGTAAAGGAACATTTGACTTCGGTAGCGGAATGAAATGCTAGCAGATCTTGAGCGCTGAAGCCAGGCCTTGAAGCGTTCCAAAAACAATTTTACATGACTACCAGTTGATCGAAGACATTGTCGTTTATCATCTTCTGAAGGGAATAGGTCTGAATCTTTGAACTTCCAAACTGCTGCTAAACCATACGACCTAGCTGCATCTCGAACTGCCTCTATTATCTTATCCAAGTTTCCGTCGGAGAATTTCTTTTTCTTGAATGCTTCTTTTGTGAGCTTTGGTCGCTTCAATACCTTTGCAACAAGATAATGGAAGCCACCTTGACCTTGCTCTTTAAAAAATGCCTCAGCAAAATAGCCTTTAGTGTGTAAGTCACCTGGAATAATACCAACCCATTTATATGCATCCGACCTAGACATGACTCCCTGATTTGTCATGCACGTTCCAATGTCTCCAACAACTCCAGTTATAAATCCAGGGGAGCTTCTGTCATAGGTCTTTTCCTTATCATTGTCTTTTGTGCTGGTTATGTTCGCAGATCGTTTGAAGCCTGGGTCGTACAAAGCAATTTCATCATCTTCTTCATCTGATGAACTTGGATCTAGAAGTTCATATACCTCTTCCAGTTCCATTTTCATTGCCACAGCAAGTGGACTTGGAATGTTAGTGAACAGTGGTCCACGTACCGAGGCCTGACTGTTGACTAACAGCTTACTGATGTCCTTGTTTCTGGTTATGACTGCAATTAGCAATGGGGTTACACCACACATTTCTTTTAAGTTGGGATTAACTCCTGCATGAAGAAAACAATGTACGAGGTTGACGTTTTGCTGTTCAACAGCCATATGCAATAATGAACGTCCTAGATGATCCCTTATAATTCTTACATGTTCAGTTTCTGATATTTCCTTGATAAAGCGCTCAATCGTATTAGTTTGAATGGCTTTCCATAGCTTATTTTTTAAAGAGTCAAGTGTGCTATTAAACACACGGTCTTGTTTTCTAAACAACTTTTGGACAGTATTCACAGTTGTTTCTGGTCCGGACACTCTATTCCTGCCAATCTGTTCACTGTCCTCATCCCCAGAGTCATTACCATCATTGCTTTCACTACTATCACTTGATTCTTCATCAAAATCTTCCCCTTCAGAATTTTTTTCCACATCTGACAATTGTGAACCATATTGTTCTTTTTGCACTTTGTGATGACTCATCAATATATTAAACTCTGCATGCTCTCTAGCTTTCTTCAAACAAAATGTTTTTGCATTGCTTTCAAACGGAAGAATTTCATCCTTGGAGACAGAATGAATAGAAAACTCTTTTTCAAACTGATCTAATATAATACCAGTGCCAGCAAGAGTGTTATTGTTCTCAAGAGAAAGAGGTAAAATGACAGTTTTGGAAGTGATTCCAGAATGTGATTGGTCAATATAATTAGCTTTGGACTCGAGCTTTAAATCGTCTGTTATCTTATACGTTTTGTTTTTGAGACAATTATTGCAATCTTTTTCTGACATATCTTTAAAGGGCATGCTTGTTTCTAAAGACAGACCATCTTTCAAAAGCTCAGTGAAATAGTGATCTTTATGGTCTTCCCATATTCTCAGATGCTCTGAATTGTTTTCAATGGCAAGGTTTTCAAAGGTGAACTCTTTAACATCATGTTGACTTTGCGTTGCTGTGTCCTTGTATGTGAACAGGTGCTTAATTTCAGATATATCAGGAATAAATAGACCACGTACAGTAAAGTTCCACATGTTCTGGCCATAGGTACTGAATAGCCTGTGATGTCGTTTGTTGCCTTGGTAAATATTTATATTGTCCATGAGGAGCAACAAAGGGGTCTCTTTTGGTGTTAAAGATTTGACATAGGAAGTCTTTTTCTCTAACTGCTTATCAAGAAAATTCATCAGGGTGTCCCAATGTAGGGTGAGGCCAATTTTGTTGAGCATTTTAATCATTCGGCATCCAGCACCAAATGAAACAAGCATTAATGAAAAAATTAATGTTATATCGTTGCGACATTGCTTATTTCTGAGGCTTGCAAGAAGGGCAAGAGCATGTATTGCTCCCTTTTCTTTCTTATCAGATTTTCCATGGGGAAAAAGTACAGTCAGAATGGGGCAGTCCAATTCAACATGATCTTTGAGGTTTTCAAATATCATGCTATTCAGTTGTACCTCAGCTACATTATCCCCATTTCTAATACCCAGGTTAACAAATGTTTCCAATTTTTTAAATTCTTCAACCAGACAGCTCTTTTCACTAGGGTCCAACACTCTCTCATGTTCTAACAAATATTTCAATTCATTCTCATACAGAATATCAATGTTGTCTGAGAGTTTTGACACACAATGCATTCTTTATTGTATAAAGAAATGAGACTGCTCACATATGGATAATTTACTGATGACTTTATAGCATCCATGAAAGCATTGGCTTTTTCTTTGTGTGCAATAACTTGTTGTTGCAAACTATATATTTCCGAATTTGTTAGAACTTCATATGAAGACCCATCATTGCTGCTTTCATGGGAAATTGAGCGACGGATATTTTTATACACACCTTTCCGACGATCATTAACTGCACTACTGAATACTTCTTTCACTGACCTGGTGGCAAGGTTTTTGTTGTCTGTTCCAAGTACATTGAGAACATCATCATGATTTGCTACTTTCCCAGGACTTTCAACAAATTTGATTTTCAGAATATCTTTTAAATTCTCACTTCTCTTTTTGCACATAATATTGCTGAGATTAGACTTTTTCTTTGG